CCTCAATTCCATTCCTCGCCTCCTCGCATCTGAGTGACCAGAGACAGAGCAGGTGTTTGACACACGGAGATGTCCTTGCTTCGGAGCACTCATCGTTTAAGTATGAAGTCTCTCCGTTGTCATGTGGGCCTCAGTTGGTTCCTCCTCCTCCCTCGTGCTATTGGCTGATGAATGTGATCAGTAGACCAATCAGCTACCTGCTGACACACAGCTGATTGTATAATGTTATCGACTTAGTCCATGGCTGGTTTGGTTGTTGTTGTCAGGTTATCTTGTTATTGGTTATTTTTTCTTTTTTCTAATCTTTTCATTCTTAGCCACTGCATTTAACTTAAGCTGCCATTTTGCGTTTATTAGGTTTAGCATTGACTACATTTACATCGACAAAATATTCCAGTTTTTGCCCTCATTCTGAAAAACACAGTATTCCTATGATGATGTATACATGGCAAATGAAAATGAATATTGCACAAATATTCCCGTTTACATGCAGCTGTGCATGCTCTGCCTAATATAGCTGTTAATGGCGTTAATGGTGTCCTACAGAGGAGCTACTCCTTTCCCTCTTTGCATCAAAAGAGGATTTTTTTTTCAGCGGTGGCGGACCGTGAGAACACCTCCTGCTTCTTGCAAATGTTGGCATTCCAAAACTTCATCATGTTTAAAAGTAGGTTTCTCCCGACCAGAAAACAACAAAAGACAAAGATCCCTTTGTGCACAGTTGCCTTCAGGAACGTTACCAGTGGCCCTGAAGACCGGTAGGTCTGATGCCACTCCAGAGGAGGACAGACTGCTTGTTGTGTGATCGAGGTAAAACTGACACTGAGGTTCACTTTTTGTTTTGCTGTCCTGTCTGAGGACATGAGGGATGTACTTTTCTAGTAAAACGTCCTCCATGTATGAGGATTTCTTTTGGCTGGATGATTATGAAAAACTTGAATTGTGCTTCAGGAAGTGCTTGCAAACTGTTTGTTTGTTTACAGCACACAGAGCTGACAGTAAACAGGAAAGAGGCTGTCTGTTGCAAATGAGATGCATATTCCAAAGAATGCTCGTAAAACCGGAATAATATTAACATATTCCACATAACTAACTGGGAAACATTCAAAATAAGACTTAATAAGGAATATCCAAATGTAATATTCAGTTTACATGACCCTTATCAAATGTGGAATATTGTCATCTTCAGAATAATAGTGCACAGTTAGTGTGCATGTAAACGTAGTCAGTGTAACTTTTCTTTCTGGGTAGTTTATATAATGTTGGTTTCGTTATTTTGGCCGAGGCTCTCCCTGATGTTACTGGAGCTTCTATATCCTGCAATAAAAGATTCTGAACAAGCTGACTGCTCCAATTCTTCATCTAGTTTTATGTTACTCCCCTCTCCCCTCGACCAACCCGGGATCATAACAATAACCAAAAAGAGCAATACAGTAGCTGTTAACAAGGCCCGAGAGTGGAGAGTGGGGTAAAAATGCTTGAGGTCATGGTATAATCTATAACACTGCACTAAGTAAATATAAAATATTAGAATAGGATAACACTTTTGTGTATAAACCTTTACATTTTGGATTAAAAACACCCATAAGCTCCACTGTTACCAGAACCAGCACCTGAACCTCCTGAACTGTGTGCTGCAGTGAGCTGTGTAAAGGCCTTATGAAATGTCTTATTGTACTTAGAATAATAAAAACGAGACCTACAATATAAAAATGCTGCATTGCTGTCCAGAATGTACCCTGAAGTTCAACATGTCTGAGAGATTTAACAACTTTTAGAAACAGTAACTGCTTTATAACACACTGGGGGAATATATATGTGTACTCATATATCATCATATAGCATTAAACGTGGTTACTGCTGTGTTGTAACTTGTTACCTGTTCATTAACTGTACTGTTGCTGATGCTGAAGAAGTTATTGACATTATACCATTAATAAACTTCAATCTTCGTAAAACTACATTGTAGTGTTATTGTGTGTTTTTTTATACTGCTCTAAAGTTCTAAATAAAGGGGACTAAAGTAAACTTAATACCAAAGGTGGAAGACATATTGACAACATTCAGTAAAAGTATGCAAGTATAATCAGCAAAATGTGCTTCAATATGAAAAGTAAAAGTACTGGTAAGTAGAAAAATGTTCCCGGTCTGTGTTCTATATTCTATCTGATGTTTCTGGATGATTATTACTGCTGCATTAATGTGGCTGGTGCATTTTACTGCTGTATGTTTAAGGCTGAGCTCCTTTTAACTGTTTTCTATATTGTTTGGTAGTTTAATGTACAGCAATGCATCATATTCCACGATGATGAGCTCAGAAAAACAGTCCCGTTTCAACCTTTGTGATGATGCGTTTCCCAGCTAATGAAAGAGGCTTTTTAAATAGTTTATTTGGAGCATTTTCTCCACCCATGAAGGAACTCTGTCCTTCAGTCTAGCACAAACATTTAAAACCAACACCTGGAAATGTGAAACCTTGTAATCTGAAAGATAAATGTAGTAAAATGGACAATGTTAGCCTCTGAGATGTTGTACAGTAGGAGTATGAAGTTGCATAAAATGTAAATACTCAAGTAAAGTGCAGGTACTTTAGTAAATGTGTATAGTTAGACTCCAGTACTGCACATTACTCCACTTACTGCTGCTGTTTATCCTTCTGACAGCACAGTAATGTGGGAGAGAACAGAGAGAGTGATTGATTTATCCAGAAATGTAATTAGTGTGCATCCCCTTCCATTTGCATCTTATAATGGAAAAACTCTCCATTCACATAATGTCCGCTCTCTGTATCTGCTCTTTCAGTATAAAAGCCCGGCAGTAACAGCTTGCTGCCAGTAGGAGGTGTGATGTTCCACCGATGGACAGCAGTGACCCTGCAGCTGTGTGTGTGTTTGTGTGTGTGAGCGCTGACAAATAAGTGCAAATGAGGAGTGATTTTTTTAAATATGAAAAATATAAAAAATACTAAGTACACTAATTTAATCTAGTTTTATAAATCTAATATAATGTAACATGTACTACAAGGATAAAAGGCAGTTTAATTAAAGTTATGCAGGGTTGCATAATTAAAGATTTTAGTTCCCTTTAAGCGTCACACAAAAAAAATTCAAAAATTACATTCAGTAAAATTGATAATAAGCAGCAGAGTGGTTCCTAGCCTAAATCATACAATTCTAGCTGTATAATATTATAACATCATTTAATCTTAAAGATTAGTAGTGTATATCATATATAATAACCCATATTTCCTTTCTAATATTCAAAATAAATAATGTTTCTCTTTCATGTTATAAATTCTACTTTATACAGAATGATTACGATTCATTGATGAACTGACGAGATGAAGATGACCACTTGTTGAGGACGATGAGAGCATCATTAATGAGAATGATGAAGATGATATTAAGGATTATTGATGACTTTGATCAGGATGATGATGCTGATGAGGAGGAGGATGCTGGTGATAAGAAGAGCATTGATTATATGCATTAGTGCTGATGGATCATGGACCCTTGAGTTGTTGAACTGCTTTGCTGTGGATGAAATGAATGTGTGAGTGACAGTGAAGTGCAGGTGTTTGCACACATCAGCGTCCAGGTAACGTCAAACATGACTGAACACACTCATCAGAGCCCATTATCAAGCTGATTGATCATGTTTGAGCCTCATCAGCTCAGGTACAAAGAGAAATCACACAGCACTGACACCGTCTTCCTCCAAAACAGATTTATTGGAGCACAGCGGACCAGATTTTGGCCTCTAACACCTCATTCAATCAGGGGAAGCTGTGGAGTCATTCAGGCCGCACGTTCCTAAAAGGCTTCTGAAAAGTCAGAAATATAACTAATCACATGAAAACTCAATAAATAACAGTGTGTTTAATATTGTATACACTTTAGAATATCTGATGAGTTGAAAAAAGATCAGATTTGAAATGAATCGGCTCCTGACTGCCTCTCTTTGTGCGTGTAGATCATCATTCTCAATGTTTCCATCTGTAATAAAAACTCGAGCTTTAACTCTTTGGTGACTGCCTCTTTCTTTGGTAAAGTCCTAACTTTTCCTCCATTGTTTCATTTAACTGAATGAAACGGGTTAAAATATTATCATTCATCATTTATTGAACAGGATATTGATTGTACATAACCTTTAATTTATTTATTCTACTGATTCATTTCACTCAATCAATTAATATCTGCTCACCCTACATTTTTACCTACACAGTTACATTTGTTCCTCCTGGGACTCCGTACAGAGGAGCTGTCTGATCCGGTGTGGTGCTGAAACTGTGGAGCCTCCATCAGAGAGGGCAGCACCCTCGGAAGCTCTGCGGGTTCACCTCGAGACTTTCGCCGAACTAGACTTGGCCAAACAATTAAAAGACATTTCTGAGTCGCATTCATTCGCAAGAAATATCCTTTAATTGTAAGGTCAAGTGTAGTAATCCTCAGGGTCCACCTTCCCCGTTGGCTCCCGCAGGTCGTCACTCTCTCCTGGGCGGAAAACACCTGGAATGACATCACGGGAAAGGTCAGTGACGTCACACGCCCACACTGTCACAGGCTACAGGAGACAAACACATCCCGGACCTCGTGGACCCGCAGCAGAGTGTCAGACCGGCAGCAGAGGCAGCTCGCCACAGGGTGAGACAGACCTGGAGTCAGCAGCTCTCCCGACAGTGCCGCTGAACACATGTCCCGCCTCTCCTGCTCCCCTGTACCGGGACCCCAGCGAGCCTCCCCGTCTCTCCTTTCCCCCAGGGCTCCCCTTCATCTAACCCCCCCCCGCGATCACGACTCGCTGTTCCTCCTCGCCGTTGGGTTTTTGTCTCTTCTCTCTCCGTTTCAGGAAAATCCTCCGTGCTGGCAGCGCTGGGGAGATTTTACGCACAAGGCGACGCCAAAACCCTCCGCTGGCTTTGTATCCGCACGCTCGGATGCAACATTAGAGCTGAACGTTTAACGCAGACCGGAGGTGTATTCGTTCCGAGCGGAGAGAGATCCGTTAGAGTGGAACCCGCTCGGAGACCCGGTATCTCCTGTCCGTGCGCCGCGCGTCATCCACAACCTCTCCAAGCTGCCGGGGTGGAAATTCCGCTTCACACCGGTGTCACACATAATCCGACATTCATTCAGGCTTCTACACAGTCAGCCTGCTGGAGATTAAGTTGCTTATCTGTTGTAGAACTGCTACATCTTCATTTCCGTCTCTCCATCACAAGAAAGGGAGCAAACGGAGCAAAAGCCCAATATTGTCTGTTTTTACGCACGGATACCGGAGCCAGAAGCACGACCAGAATCACGCGATGTGTCTGCAACACGCTGAGGAAATCCAACGCATGCAACAGCTTCATGGCAACGCGGCGATGCGGTGGTGACGGCTCCGCTGCACGAGCCAACTTCAGGGGAGAGGGGAGAGCGCGTGCAACGCGTGAAACGTGAAGCCGGCTGTCGCAACTTCATTACCGGCACCGACGACCTCCCTCCCATCTCTCTCCGGTGTCCGAGTCCTCCCGCAGAACCTACCCAGAGAGCGAGTGTCCGTCCGGGGCGTGACTACCTCTGCGTCCCTCACCCGGTCTCCTCCGCGGTGCGCACCGGCTCCCATCCATCCATCCATCCTTCCATCCCTCTCCATCTCCATCCCTCGCCTCTCTTTTCTCCGGTCGGGCTTCCAGCGCCGTAGATAGAGGCTCTGCAGTCACGTGGGTCGGGGGAGAAGAGAGAGAAAGAGAGAGAGACAGAGAGGGAGAGAGAGAGCGTCCCTCCTCCTCCTCCTCCTCCTCCTCCTCCTCCTCCGCAGTTTGCAGTGTGTTATGTCTCAGACTCGGAGGTAGAGAGTCAGAGCTGCTCGTCTGGCGGATCTCAACCTCTGAAACAAACCCCCGGTGTCTTCTCTCATCCGTCCCCGCGTCCCTCCTCACTTACCCGGGTTTGTTTCTCTCCGGAGCCCTGGAAGCTTCAATTTCTTTCTTCTTCTACCCTTCTTCCTCCTCTCCACTCCGGCCAACAGTTTGGTCTTGGGATTTGGTTTTTTATTACTATTCGGTGGTGATTTCAGCACTGTTCCTCGCTGCTGCTGCTTCTGCTGCTGCTGCCACCGACGCCGCTGCCGCCGCTTTTACGCACCGACGCTTATTTTGGATTTGCTCATCACTGGAGAAAAACACAAAAATCAGCGAGGTGGATCCGTGGATGCGCCTTTTTGGCTCAAACTGGAGATGGAAATGCTGACATTGTTATTTCATTCCCTGTGGATATTGCAATGCAACACAGTGAGCGCCGACTCCATCATTCACATTGGTAAGACACCAACCGGGGCTTCTTTTTTTGGCTTTGCTGTGCGGGGCTTTGGCTAAAGGTAGAGACAGGCTGGTGGCTGCATTCAGGGACGGCTTAAAACACACAGTGTGAGCAGGAAAGCAGGTTGCTGGTGGGGTTGTGGAATATGGAGAGATTAGTAGTGTTCAACTTGAGTTATGGCAGAATTTGAATATTAGAGTTTCCGTGCATGCACTGATTTTCAAACACCCTTTGCTCTCTGGCGAAGAGGACCCGACCTCACAGCTGATTATCATTCCGATCCGTGCCAGGATAGTGTGTAGGAAGGAAGGAGGCTGTTGCATCCAGGCTCAGACGCACGCAGCGCAGCCTGGTAGAAGTGCCCGCAAAGTGTTGCGCCGCGCCATCCCTCTATCCATCCCTCCTTCTATCCCTCCATCCATCCCTCCTTCCATCCCTCCTTCCCAGGCAGGGAGAGCTCATGTCGATGCATATTCACATTCTCACGCAAAAAACCTGAAGCTGGCAGGAGAAACTGCCCCGACGTGGGTGTTTGGAGGGTTTCGCTTTATCCATCCTCCCTCCCTCCCTCCCTCCTTCTTCCTCCTCCTACATCCCTCTCTCCCTCGCCTCCCCTCATCTATAAGCCTGAACTTTGAATTGGACGTGAGTGAAATGTTAATCAACTCTGCCAGGGGAAGAGATGACAAAGGGGACAAACGCCGACTGTTTGAGCTCTGAAACATCCAAAAGCCAGTTGGCGAGCCGAGGAGGAGGCGAGCAACCACTCTTCTGCTCCCTTCTCCTTTTTTACATCATTTCATTTCCTGGGATTTTAGTCAAATCACTTTGTTTTAGCAAAAAGTAGGAGTTGTTAGAGAATATAGCGGCGTCAGGAAGGATTAGAGGAGATTGTGAGAGCAGAGCAGACTCAATGAGCCACCACTGACTGAACACACACTCACTGCCGCACGCACTTTTCATATAAACTCCCCAATTTGCACTAATTCCACTCAGAGGCTCCTCTTCGCCCAGAGATGATTGGATGCGGCAAGCATCCGTTTGGAAGAGAGCCATCCAGTTTGCGGGGGGGTAGAAATATTCATAATCTTCCAAAAGGTGGGACATTTCAGATCTCTGCTGCAGCTCAGACCATCAGACCCGGCCAGTGGCAGCACTGCAGCGGCCTGTGTGGTTCAGCCAGGAGAGGGGAAGGGGGGGAGGAAGCGGATAGGGTGGGAGGGAGGGGGAGGCAGAGCCATTCAGCTAATAAGAATATACTTCCTAGCTCAAATGATTTTCAGAAGACACAGATTGCTTAAAAGGCTGCATCAAGGAAAGGTGTCAGGAGATGTTTGATAAGCAGAATTTATGGGCTACAGAGCTTAATAATGACACAGAGGCATTACATGAGACACAATGAGACCTGAGAATGTGCTGAATATTTTGCCAGTGTTTTCTCTTTCTCTTTGCTTTGTGGTGTCAGACTGAGCTTTATTTGTACACATACAGATGACATAAGACCTGCTGTGCACCGAGGAAAGACCTCATCTTGCAATATTTTTTGGCCATTTCTAGAATTCTCGATTACGTATGGAGGGATAAATGGATGCACAGATGGATGGATACTTTACTGTCCGTCGGGAGAAAATCTGCACTCACTCTGCACATGGAAACAACGGAGAGCAGTGATACAGGCTTATCGAGAACACAGAACAGTAAATACTGCAAACAAGGGAGGTGATGCCAGATAGTGAGACGAGACATGAACATGAAAGCACACTGGTGTGGTTGATGAATACGGGGATGATTTATGAGCAATGAACACAAATAACAAAAGGAAAATCTGAGCAGATATTGACAGATTCTATGTGAGTACGTGCTTTAGAGGAGGGAGTCTGTTGGTTTGAGGGGCTGTGAGGGCTTTTGATGAGTTTATTCTGCTACTTGCTAAAATATATTCATTGAAATATGGTTGAAATGATCTTTTCATGCAGCTCAGATGCCTTAAAACATCTCACTTCTGTAGCCTGATGCAGCCTGGAGCCTAAATGTTGCAGTTTTTCTGTTCATGCACACATCTTGTGACCAATCCTTTGCATCTTTGAAATACAATGCATCAATATCTCTATATATCAGTGTTCCAACCAGCTGTGTATGTGCCTGAGGCTGGAAGAGCTTGAAGAATTTGCTCAACCTGAGGAGAAGCTTTGTGGCCGTTGGATTGAAGCACAAACCTGAAAATGTTTTATTGAGTGTGTGTGAATCTAGCCTGCGACGCCTGGCCTCTTGTTGCATGTGTGTGCTGGTCAGGCGGTGGATCCCTGCAGGTTCTTACAGTACAAGTCGCAGTTTGTAGCTCGGAGACGCGTGAGCTCGCTCCAGTGATGCAGCAGCAGGAACGCTTGCAGTCAGCTGCAGGATGCTGAAGTCTTTGGAGATCCAACATGTATTTGTTCTCATTCAGTGTTTTGGTTTTCTGGTTTTCTGGCTGGACAACCTGCCTGTTGGTATTTAAAGATATTAGAAAATGCTCCTCGGTGCCTGTGAGACCGTTCACACTGCTCTAAATAACAGGTTGTGACATGGTGGATCATTGCACCAAAGTGGTTGCACTGAAAATCATTGAAGACACAGACAAAGGGTTCCCTGTGGCTCGGATGGTTCTGTAGAGCACCTTCATGTGGCTACAAAAGACTCTTTAGTCCACAGGAAACGTCTCAAACCTGCAGTATTTTTAACTGTTTAAGAGCTACTAAGGATTCATTGTTCAGTCTTACCTACATACTCCTGTTCATACAGAGACCAGTGTCTTTTATATTGATTTAGGACCAGCTGCTTCTGATTAAGTTGTCAGATAAAGAGAACTTGCTTAAATAAATCAGTGGCTTCCAACCTTTTTGTGATCCAAAGGTCATGGCCTCAGTGTGCAGTGCGGACAACGCAGATTAGCTAAGTTTCAACTGCAGTCCTTTGCCAAGATCATTTGAAACCAGTTAGGTGATGATTAAAATTTACAGGCCGACAGATTCCATCAAGGCAGCAAGAAAATAAGCATTCCCATGACAGCGCACAAGCAAACAATTATACAGCAACAGTACCATAATCTCAGGACCCCTGAGATTCATGATGTGAACTTTTTATTAGTGCCACATAAATGCTAATTTAATAGTGATCAGCAAAAATCAGTTGAGGAACCCGATTCGTTGGTGTCACTGGATCACATTGCACTTGATGACTCGTGACCCCACATCAAAGCTCAGAACTATGTGTAGACTTGTGAGCAGTTTAACAAGAGTAACCTTTCCTTCACAGATTGTTTCATTTTAAGGAATTTAGGGCTACATTTTTTCACACAAGATCTGAAATGTAAGAATATTTTAGGGTTTTTTTTCTTTCTCATTCCTTGATTCCTCTTAGATTTGTACCCTTGAGGGATCTTGACCCCCAGGCTGGAACCCATTAGAATAAAGATCCCTTTGAGAACAAAGAGAATGTTACTCCATTAGCTTAATTTGATGACAATGATCTTGATAACTAGATAGTTTTCCTAATGACAATCTTAATTTAAAGCCCTTACAAGGAACTTCCATTTTGTGTTGATTCTGACCGAATCTGACCCGGTGGCAGGCTTTAAGAATAACTACGGGGCAGCTGTGACTCAGGGGGTAGAGCAGGTCGTCCACTAATCGTAAGGTTAGTGATTTGATTCCCGGCTGCATGTCAAATTGTCCTTAAGCAAGATTGCTCCTGATGCTGAGCATCTGTGTGAGAATGTGTATGACCGAGTTAATTTCTGTTTGTGATGAGCCTTTGCCGTCGCTGTATGAATGTGGTTGAATGTGGCATGTAGTGTGAAGTCCTCTGAGTGGTCAGAAGACTAAAAAGGTGCTATGAAAGTATTACTCTCTATAGAAACAGCCAATGTTCTTGCTGATGGTCTTGTTTGTTCACATAGGTCATATCGAGCAATCAGTATTAAAATGAGACTGTTTCATAAGCTCCTTGTACTATGTTGAAGTAAAATAAAATTTTAAATGTGTAGCTACATAAATGTACAGTAGAAAAAGGTTTTGATTTAAGCAAGGAGTCTAAAGGTTGAACGGCTTCCCTCCCCCTCCTCCCAGTCCTCGTGGCTGCTCTTTGGTTGGCTGGCCTTATTCAGAGCCTCCGTTGTTCCCCTGAACCAACTGACAGTCTGACTCTGACTGACTTGGCAGCGCAACACAACGCCAAGATCAGATGTGACAGTGTTCCAACCTCGGCCCCTGAAACCCCTGCCCGAGCATCTGTCTCGTCCAGTCGCGTGGCTTTATCGTCGGTGACATATCCCGGTTTGTTTGTCCCTTCCTCTCTTCTCTTCACTGTAGAAGATCCGTGGCAGGCAGGGTGGAAGGGTGTGGGGGTTTGATCTGTAAAAGAGCTGATACAGATGAAAACGTGGAGCTTGGACCTTCAGTCGACCTGCTTGAACCTCTGACCCACTTGCTGTGTTGGTGTGCGTCAGCGGCGCAGCATCCCGCTCTGTTGAGGTCCAGGAGTCTGCAGGTTTTCACATCATCCGTTCACAACAGCAGCTGGTTTCTCTAATTAGTCCCGCCCCTTCTGTTCTTTGGTTGAATGTGCATACATCAGTGAAAACAGCTGCTGCAGGGTTTGTTTGAGACGGGAAAGAAAAGCAGTGGACAAGGGACGTCAGTTTATATGAATTAAGGTCAGGACCAGGAGCATCAAACAGGGTTCGAATAAATTGTGGCCTTTTACTAAATCTCAGGTTTCTAGCTGTCAGTGCAGTCAACTCTTGATATGATGGATGCTCTCAGGGGGTTTACAAGAACATCTCTTTCCAGAAAAGGAAACCGTTATGAAAAGCAGACAAATATCAAAAGCTCCTGCAGACTGATGTGTTGGCACAATATCGAACTGCTGTTTGTAGAAAACATGACATAAATTAGTGTTTGATAGAACTTAATGAATATACTGTTGGCACACCCAACAGTAACAGATACAGAGAGAGGAAA